TTTGCTCTAAATTCCAAATAACTTGTTTCTCAAGAAATTCACATGAATCCCTTTCTAACCTTGCATGCTTGGTAAATGAACTTTAATCAAATTCTTGAACAAAACTTGAATTCCCATGACATTTCTCTTGAAATAATCCAAAGCAAACTCCTTAATCAGAATTCCACCTTCTTGAATGAACCCTAAAGTAAATGACTTATATCATAAGCCATGAAGCGAGTCCAATCTTTAATTGATGACCATGAACCAAATGGTCCCTAACATCACCCTATGTCCTTCATGAGAGAATGGATCCAACACGTTGATCCCCATCAACCTCGTATAACAAACAATGAGAGAACCAAATTGCCTTGGTCTTAATGAATTTACAATGCCATCCTTATATCATGCCTTATCATCCCACGAACCTCCATTGAAGATGTTGATAAACCCAAGTACGATAGGATATAAGTCCTAATCTTCCACACAAAGCTTTTAGATTTTGATCTCAAAGCATTAAAATGAAATACGAAGAAAATAGATTATATCGCAAGTAAGTCAATCGACCAGATGAAGAGCTTTGCATTATAAGGCATACAAACTCTAATTCGTGAAGAAGGTCCAACTGAATCTTCTTTTCTAGAATAGAGTTGTTGCCCACATGACTGGAGATTCAAGCAATGCTTTCCTTCTTATTTTCCAAAGATATATCGGTTGAAACCCTGATTATTCATGGATGATATTCCTTGATTATAGCCTTGCCTGATAATCACAACTTCATAGAGAAACCTCTCTTGAATGGTACATGATTTAGGGAAATAAACTCTAATCAATGGATGATGTTTGAACACAAGGAGATAATAAATGCCTGATTTAGTAGCCCTTAGATGACCTCGTAGAACAACTTGGGAATGAACATGGGAATACAGAAAGAAATATGACCCAGATGGCCATGACTTGATTACAATGAAGAGAACGCCTCAAATGAAAACTAAATCAAATCTGAACACCAAGGATTAGAAACCCTAATTCACACTTGCATCACACACCCCTAAAATCTTGCATCTTAAGGCAAAGTTGATAGGAAAAACACCCTTGAACCCTGATATGCAGATCCCTAATTGGTGAAATAGGGAATAGACTATTCCACCGTATCAATGCATAATCAACCCCTAGGAGCTTCAACAATGAATGTACCTTTGGATTCTGAAAGATAATCCTAATAAGATCCCAATGGCATCAATACTCTCGACGAAACCTTTATCCCATAAAATAGGAGCAGATGATTCACACAAATGTTTATGCTAAAGTTCGCACTTTTTACGATAGAACCAAATACTCGTCACTTAAGAGAAAGCTTCAGATGAAAGTCCAGTCTTGGTAAGAAAATCCAAGAAGTGGTGACAGATGGAGGTCCTTAATTCTGAAGGAAGGAGACTCCAGATAGCCATAAGTGGCAACCTTAAACCACTATGAAACCTTGGAGAAGAATTCGATTAGAGCACAATTGTCAAAAACCTGGCTTCGATCGCTCATAGGAAAATAAACTCTGATAGCCTCGTAGCTTAACGAAGACATAAATTCTCAGTGACACAGACTACAACCCTAATTCTACCGCTTACTGCCTGAATAAGAAATCAACCTTTATTGGACACAAACGTCTTAACCACTATGAAACCCTAATATTGCACACCCACTGAACTTTGAACCTCAAGCGCTTTATTGAATGCAGTGCATGCTATGTTAGTGACCTAATGGAATATATACAAATGAATGCAAGAATCTAAGCCAGATAGAAAAAATTTAGGAGGGAAAATTTTGGGGTGCAACAGACGCGTACCGCATTGAATTCGCAAAATGAGTCGACGCATCCTCTCTTGGATCGACTCATCCTGAATTTTACACATGGCATGTATCGACACATGCTCCTATGGGTCGACTCATCCTGGGTCTAAAGGTTCTCATGTATCGACGCGAGACCCTTCGTGTCGACTCATCCTGAGTCTCAAAACCTCCTTGTATCGACACATAGCATTTGAGGTCGATGCATCTTGTTACATCCTGCATAAATTCTGCGATTTTCTCTGCGTTTTCACTACGGGTTTCATATTTTAAGCCCTAAAAACTCAATCTAATCATGGATAATCATCACTTACAATTACCCTATAATTCTACATCAATTAAACCACATCGGTACATCATTATTCATCTATAATTCATCAATTTTTCATCATACAATATTATAAACATTCAATTTCATGAACAAGACAACAATCACCTCTAACCCCACATACCAATCATCATGAACTCAATTATAGAGTCAGAACCCCACCCTTACCTTGGATTGAAGGTCGCTCTATAATCTTCTGGTCGAAACCTCGTTCTGTCGTTTTTCCTCTTTTTCCAGCAGCTTCACGTTCTTCTTCTCAATCCTATTCTCCTACTGCTTCTTCTATTCTATTCTTTCTAGCAACAATAAAATAACCTATTATTCTTTTTACTCCTTATTGGGCTTAAAACTAATACACCCCCTTATTACTTATATTCCTTTAAAACAAATCCACATCAATAATATTATACTTCTAATATTATTTCTCCACTTAATAAATAAATCCAATTAATTACAACATATCTTCACAAATATTGCAAAAATAATTTAATTAAATGATTAATTAAATTACGGGCGTTACATAGGATCTGACAGTCTCTATGTTGGACCTGCTTGATCAGCCCAATGAAGAGATCTTGGTCCAATGCTGGGGGTTATAAATACCCTCTCTTTCGAGAGGGTCAGATATTCAACACTTTCTAACCCTCACGCTTGTTTGCTCATTCCGCAACTTACTTTGACATCGGAGTGTCTTGCAGGTACCCCTTCCCCCACCTCACTCAACTTCTGCTCGAGTCAGTTGTGATGGTCCATTCTGATCAGATACGATAAAATACCTTTTAAATTTTTTTTTGTGATTCTTCCTTTATAAAATACCTTTTTTCAGACATTCTTATTATACTATTTAACTGATTATGAAAAATTATATATATATATATATTTTATTTTTTTTATTAAGAAAAAATAAGAGATGCGTTGAGGTCGATTTTTAATAAATGACATATGTTGTGATATTATATTAATATTTCAAAATAATTTAAATGAATTTTGTTATTGAACATTTGTGTATTATTGACGTATATATATGCATTGACGTAGATATTTAATATGACCCATATTATATTGATATTTCAAAATAATTTAAATGAATTTTGTTATTGAACGACTGTGTACTATTGACGTATATGTGCATTAAACCTTTTTATTAAATGATATTTGATACTGTGACAATATTTTATTATTTTGTGACTCAAATATTTTCTACTCTATGAGAGATAAATAATTCTAAATGATCTACAATATATTTAACTTTGACATTTCATACTATTATAAAAAATATAAATTTTTTTATTAAAATTATATCTCATAAATATTTAATCTGCACAATAGTGTTATAGGATGATTTCAGAAATTATAATGATATTTAATTATTTTATGATAAAGTGAATACCTAAAAAATTGTGAATTATCGATTTTTTTATTATTATACGGGATCAAAAATTTATAAATAATTCTCAATATATTTAATTTTGATGACTAATTTCATACTATTATAAAACAATAGAAATTTATATTAAAATTATTCACAAATAACATGAAATTAAATAAGAGTATTTTACTTTAATGATTTTATATTTGAATTTTTTAAATATATGTGTATATATGTATTAGTCTTAAACATCAATAGTCAAGGAAAATAAAAACTAAATACATTTTCAATTTTTTATGTCAAATATTATATTATATTTTGAGATTAAAGATAATGAACGGAGGAAAATAATGTTATATTATTATAAATTTAGTTGAATATCGATATTCTTGTTTAATTAAGTCTAAAAATATTTTTGCTCTTTTATTTTTAAAATTTATAAATTTTAGTTATTTATTTTAAAAGTTAATTTTTTAATCTCGAATTTTATCTCAATTGGAATTTTTATGATCTCTTCCGTTTAATATCTAAAAATATCTTAAGTGATTGAAATAGTCACATGCCAAGTCATTAATAAGACATGAATATAATATTTTAAAATGAAGGATTAAAATTAAAAAAACTTAAAAGATAAAGAGATCAAATACATTTAAACCTATTATAATAAATCACATTTTACTATTATTTTATTTTAAAATAAATTCAAATTCTAAATTAATTTGCACTAAAATACTGTTACCCAATTACATAATATATTTAAGAATTTACTAAGATATTTTATTTTATCCAAGAGCTCTTGGATATAAGGATGACAATGGACACAATATAAATAGGGTATTATATTATCTATCTTTATATTTATAGTTAGAAAAAAAATTTCTGTACTCGAACTCATATCCGTTTGAGTAATAATTTTAGTATTTTATCTGCGTTTTTTGAATATATAAGTATCTATGCTCGTATCCTTAACCGTATTTTTAATAAAAATAAATATATCAACTATAAAATATTATATCATTTTCAATTTTTAAAAATATTAAATATTTTCAAACAATTTATTGCTCAATTATGAAATAAACGAACAGTTATATTACATATGTAATATTTTAACATTCAGTTGAAATGTGCCGTGAGCTTTTTTTTTCTTTCTATCTGCCGTGAGCTTTTTTTTTTTTTTTGATGAATGGGCCAAATTATCATATCTACGAGATAAAATGTGTCTTTTTCGGCTTAATCAGAAATAGTATTAAATCTTTTTCAAGAATAAGACATCTTGGTTTATACCGAAACAAATATTTTATTACCTATTCTCTTTTCTCTTATATTTTTATAAAATATTTTATAAGTTTAAATAAAAAAGAAAAAAAAAATTTAACAACTTAAAATGCCGCTAATAAAGGAAGTATAGAAATGCTGTGAATCTACCACAAAAAAAAAAATAGGTAACTTTCCATTGAGTTGCAGTCTGATAGTTAACCGTCGATGGACGCCAAAATCGGAGGCCTCATTGAATCCATCGGAAACTTCTTCACCGGCGGAGATCAGATCCCCTGGTGCGACCGTGACGTTATCTCTGTAACTCCCACTTCTTTCTCTTTTCCGTTTCAATTCATCTTTTCCTTTGTTTTTTTTCTTTCTGAATTTTTGTTTTCATACCCCTAGTTTTGCTCTCAGAAATTAGATTATGCAGGAATTGATAACTGTATGCAAATCATGGCAAGGATTACATACAAACATTGCGACGCTTTTTGTTTTTATAATTTTTCTTTTCCATGAAGTAATTGATTTCATTTGTTTTACATCACTATTTCGTGATCCGTAACTTCTTCAAGGCATTTCGTTAAATTGAGTTCGACACCTTACATGTCAATGTTTGTGATCGAAACCGACAAACTGACCCCGACAGTTGTGATTAATTAATTTATTCATTTTTTTAAATTATAATTGATGTCGAGAATGTTTCAGTGTCGTGTTTCCATGTTTCCGGTGTCCGTGTATGAACATGGGTTGGCTGTTGAGTATAGTTGTGAATAAGATGAAATGGAAGTAGAAAATATTTTCTCAAACCAAATAGGTATTCTTTCTCTTTTTTCGAATAATAAATCAGCCACGATTCGTGAAAGAAGGGGGATCATCACAAGTTTTCTCTCTTTAATGGAGCACCCCTTAGGCTCGACATCGCTATAATGATATTTGCTTAACTTCCTTTAGTCTTATTTATTTTGCATTGCATTGTTTTGAAGGGATGTGAAAGAGAAGTTGCAGTAGCTTCTGATGGTGACTCTGATGAGCGGAAGAATGAGAGCATAATGAGGTTGTCATGGGCACTTGTTCATTCAAGGGAAAAAGAAGACATTCAGCGTGGGGTCGCCATGCTTGAAAGTACAGTGACTTATAGAATAATTTTCAGTGCTTTGGATTAAGTTTTCATGTTTTTTTACATAAAATAATGGTATTGTGATATTGTTTAAACTTTTGCAATAAATTTGCTTTATCTTGAGTTAATATTTATGGTCAGCCTACTATTGACACCAGCCTTTTATGAACATATGAGAAACAACTAAGATCTCTGGTTTTCTGCTGCTTCAGAATCAACTGTATGTTTAGTTTCTATTCTGATTGTTGTTCTGTATAGGTTCAGTGGTTTAAAATATTTATTTTTAATATTTAAGCTTTTAATCTATTCACCTGATTTTCCCATCTTCTATGTCTTCGTGATTTCTATTTCATGGCATTTCAACACTACATTGTAGACTCGGCATATTAGTCTTTATCATTTTCCTTCTTCCACATATGGCTGCTAACTCAGATTTATCGGCCTATTGTGCTAAAATTAATGTAATGTCACTTGGAAATAGTCCGTCCAATTTGTTCATATTTCATTGCCAGTTGTTTGACTATTCTGCCAGCCTAAATGGAGAATCGGAACTGCATCATAAGTAACATATACAGGACCACTAAATACCTGGCCTTCAAAATCCCTCTGAAGTATCATACACAAACTTCAATGAAGGATGCTGAATTTACCAAGCCGACATTTGCAGGGCACCTCTATAACCTAGTCTTGAAAATCTCTCAAATTTCTAAAGCTATTTCTGTTTGCTACATATGAAAATAACATATAATAATGTTCCATGGTTTAAACTACCTTCAACAATGCAAATCAGATTTCTTCTGTTGCCGAGCTGCATTAAGCAATTTAATTCTTCTTAAAACTGAGATGCTTGTGGTGTGAATTTAGACAATTTCCTCGCCTTAGGGCCGCCTCAGTCCCTCCTTTCTTGCTATGTGTTTTGTTATATAGCCCTAAATAGGTATCTTTGATGTTGAATTATTGACCTTTACATGCGTGGCTAACCTAATACATCCTTAATTATGATTTACAGCTTCTTTGGGCAATGATAAAAGTCCTTTACATCTAAGAGAGAAGCTTTATCTTCTTGCTGTTGGGTACTACAGGACTAATGATTATACTAAGAGTCGGCAGCTTCTGGAGCAATGTTTGGAGGTATGTGTTAGACTTTTCATTAACCAACAGTTATCTTTTTAAGTAACAATTATTAATTATTATTAGGATTGATTAGGGGAAAATTATTATATTATTAGGGACAATTAAGTTTTATTAATGCTGTGAGTTTAGGTTTAGAATATATGGGGGAAGATAGAGAAAAGTCGATAATGGTGGAATTGGATAGGAAAAGGGTCATTTTGGCATTTGGGAGGTGCAGACCCTCGAAGTTTTACAATATCATTCTGTAATCAAATGGAGTTTCCCTATTTCTTATTCTGTATCAGTTGGTTTCTATCAATATGTCTTTCTCACTTATTGTTAGATAGTAGCTTGAAACTTTTTTTACATGTGCTAGATCATCATTTCATATGATTCCCCATGTAGAATTATACAGGTACACAAAAGCTCTGTATGGTTTTTGGTTTGTTATTCTCTTGAGGGAACATAGAAAATTAGAGATATTTAAATCAATTGTTATCTTTGTTAAGTATCCAGTATCCACTGTTTTGTCTCTAGGCCTGGAAATTTTATCTCTTGGTTTTCAACAATTAGTTGATTTATTTTATTTAGTTGATACATAGTCTATGTGATGTGGTTGCTTTTGTGGGGCAGCAATATCATACTAGAAACATAATCAGATTCTTGTGATGTTCCCTATAATTTGGGATCTCTTGTTATTCTAGACGCTGTCAATTAGGATTCTTTTTCCTTTGTTACCAACAATTACAATTTATAACATGACGATGTGTTAGTAGGTCTCCTATCAAGTTTGTCAATACTAGGCGTGAAGCCAAAAACTCAAGTAATTAGGCCTAATTTCTGTTATTCAGTGTGTAAATATAATAAGGATGACAATTAGTGGTCATGGTATTGTTGTTAATTGTGGTTGGGTCAAGGGTGAGCCTAGGCTCTATAGTTCCAAGAGGTTGGTTACTATTGTGTCAGTTATTTCCTTTTATTTAGAAGTTACTCATTACTCGTGTCTGTAAGCATTACCATTGAATAAAGATATTCCACTGTAACTCCTCTTACAGACAATGGTTATCATATTCTCTCAGTCCCTATCATTGGTATCGGTGGCACTGGTCCAGTGCATGGTAGTTAGAAGATTAAAATGGATGCAGGATTGGAATTCCTCAAGAAGAGTTGCAACAATTTAATGGCATCTGGTACAGATTTTCAAGAATTGCAACAGAGCATGGAAGCCAAGAACTCTTGATGACTAGCACCTACAAACTCTTGATGAGTCTCAAACTAACCGGTAACGTTGAGGAATTCCAGGCTGAATTTGAATTATATGCAGGACCGCTCCGAATGCCGAGCCTGAATATTTTAGAGGTATTTTTCTAAATGGGTTGAAAGATGCTATTAAGGCTGAATTGGAATTGCATCTTGTTGATTCTGCAGGAGATGATGGATTTTGCGCTACGCATTGATTTTCGGAATACATGTTTTCCAAACCTGCAGAGAGCAGCCATAACATAAGCCATAAGCCACAAAGTTCCTCTAAATCCTTTCCATCAAATAATATAATTTCCGGCAAACCCACCCAAAGACTCTTCCAATCAATAATTCCTAAGAAACCACCACAAAACAACCTTATAACAACCGGGGAAGTACTTTTTAAGAGGCTCTCTGATACTGAAATGCAGGATAAACTTACCAAAGGCCTTTGTTTTTGTTGTGATGAATGATTTGTATAGGGACATGCTTGTGCTATTAAACAACTCCATATGTTGTTAATCGAAAAGGAGGTTGACCCTGGTCATACTACTGATGTTGACATAGTACCCACTGAATTCCAGAATCTACACCTTTCAATGTTCAACATTTTAGATTTTACTTCCAAGAAAACAATCAAATTGTGGGGAGATGTCATAGGTCAGAAATTCATCCAGCTGATTAATTGTGGAGTCTCTAAAATAACTTTATTTCAATCATTTTGGTTGAAGAAACAAGTTTACCAGTTGTGACGACTCGTGCTTGCACAGTGGAAGTGGGGAATGGCCGAAAAATTCCTTGAGAAGGACTTTGTGAGGATGTCTCTTTGCATATGCAGGGCCTTGCCATACAAGACTTTTATGTCTTTGATCTTGGAGGAGTTGATATAATTCTATGAATGAATTGGTTGGCTATGTTAGGTGAAATTCGTGCAAATTTTAGTGAATTAACTCGCCAAAATCCAACAAAAGAGGGTTGTCACGTGTTACGGGGAGATCCTACATCAGCCAAAGCTGCCATTTCATTGAAGACACTCATTCGGAAGTTGCACTAGGAAAATGAGGTCTTTGTATTAACATGTTATGTACTTTCTTCGTCTTTGGGACCTGGACAGCAGCGTGGCTTTGCACTATCGTGAACAGCTATCCGGAATTCTTTACAGACATCCAAGGACTTCCTCTGCTAAGAGTTCATGATCATGTAATCGTTTTGCAAGGGGCCACCATTCCCAACCTGATGCCTTATAGATACCCTCATTATCAGAAGACCGAAATTGAAAAGCTGATGGATAATATGCTGAAATCGGGGATTATACGTCCAAGTGTAAGTCCTTATTCTAGTCCTTTCATTCTCGTGAAGAAGAAATATGGTAGTTGGCGGTTTTGTGTGGGGTTGGCGGTTTTGTGTGGATTACTGGACTTTGAATAAGATCACAATTCCAAATAAATTTCCTATCTCAATCATTGATGAATTATTAGATGAGTTGGGAGGGGCTACTATTTTTTCAAAGTTGGACATTAAATCAGGATATCACCAAATCTGGATGCGACTAGAGGATGTTCCTAAAACAGCATTTCGGACTCATGAGGGCCATTATGACATTCTAGTCACGCCCTTTGGCTTGAGGAATGCTCCATCCAACTTTCAAGCACTAATGAATGAAGTCCTCCGGCCTTATTTAAGAAAGTTTGCTTCGGTCTTTTTTGATGATATATTTAAGTATACCACAAAACTCACGAGGATCATCGATTCCCCCTTCAAGCTGTTTTATCGTTTCTTAGGGAGAACCAAATTGTGTAAAATTTCAAGAAATACTTTTGGCAACCTCAACTTGATTATTTAGGTCATATCATTTCAATCCAAGGTGTGCCAGCATACGCTCAAAAGATTGATCGATGCTTACTCGGTCAACACCCAAAGATCTCAAGTCCCTAAGAGGTTTCATGGGTTCAACGGGGTACTATTGCCACTTTGTAAAGAAATATGGCAAGTTAGCTAGGCCTCTAACCCAATTTCTCATGAAAGATAATTTTTATTAGGATGAGAAGGTGCATACTGCATTTTCTGTTTGGAAGGCATCAATGATTGAATTGCAAGTTTCAGTTTGTCATTTGTGATAGAAACATGTTTCTAACAAAGGTTTAGGTGTTGTTTTGATGCAGCGTAGTCGACCAGTGCCTTTCTTGAGTCAACCATTGTGTGATCATGCTCAACGGAAGTCAGTTTATGAAAGAGAATTGATGGCCGTTATGATGGCAGTACAAAAATGGCCATTGAATAAAGATATTTCTATTGTAACTATTCTTGCATACAATGGTTATCATATTCTGTCAGTCCCTAGAATAAATCCAATAGCGTGGACTAAGTAGAAACATGCTACGATCCGCAAGTAGGGAGAATGTGTATATAAATACTCCTTAGCAAGAGGTTTATCTATGGTGAAAAAACAAATTCCTTGAGAAACAACTTTACCATTGTTGCTTTGTCGGTCTCAAACATGATTTTTTATGGTAAGAGGATACATGTGTGCTCCATTAGTTTGAAACAATTAGATCTATCAAATAGTCTCTCAAAGTTTAGCTATTTTAGAAGGAGATCTGTCATAGACAGGTCTGACTCTCTACATTTCCTCTAGGTATCAAGGATTCTTTTATGTCCACGCCTGTGATTTTGTCCTGTATATGAAAATATTCACTGTATTAGACGGCTGATTTTTTCTTATTTTCTTTTACACATGAGTGAGATTATATGGGTGGTATTCATTGTTTGATTTCAATTCGATTCCGTTTTTAATGAGTAAAGAAATTAAACTATTTCTGAACTGTCTTAGTTATTACATGAATGGTTCAGTCTCGGCTTTTCTTTTATCTCTAAATTTTGCGGTGCCCTTTATCATTGCAGATTGCACCCGACTGGAGGCAGGCACTGTCCCTCAAGAAAGCAGTCGAAGATCGAATTGCAAAGGGTAAGTTACTTATTTCTTAATCTTGAATCACAACATTGGAACATCAACTAATGGTTTGTGTATCAATGCAGATGGTGTAATAGGAATTGGCATCACTGCAACAGTTGTGGGGCTTTTAGTTGGTGGCGTTGCTACGGCATTGGCCCGAAGGAATTGAATATATACATGCTCTGATATTTGGTTTTTGTTTATTTTACTTTCATTGGGAAACATTTAAAAGTCCTATTGATAACTACAGCTTTCAACATTCTTTATTTGTTAAAAAGTGTTTTTTACTGCAAATATATGAGTGAGAATACTTTACTATTATAGAAATGATATAATAATAATAATAATATAATAGCCATTATACTAAAAGTATCTGTTCATATTATTTTTGTACTTAGAAAATGTTATGCAGACTTTCCTTCACATATAGATTAATGGTTTTCTTGTCACCAATGTGTAACTTTCTGCCTCCTCCGCGTATCTGAATTTGTTTTTCTCTTTCTTTTTCGGGATCTTTTGCCACAACATTAATGAATAATATAATTTCAGACACACTGTCCGTGAGCCTCACGTACTATAAAATCAGTCTTAATTGTATCGTCATTAAACAGTCAACTATAGACATAATATAGACTAACAATTAAAATTGACATTCCATAATAGCGAGGACCGTAGTATAGATTGATGGTCAGATATTTTCTGATACACAAGATCCTCGTGTTCAGGCAAGTGTAAAGCATACTTGCATCTGTGGGGGGAATTATGACATGAATACAATAACTAAAGCTTTTAGGGAGAAAGAAAAGAGAGTTAGAACATTTTGTTTTTAAGCACACAAGATGGTTTTTATTCTTATTGCTTATGTCTTGAAATATTACAAGAGGTTTCCTTTTATAGCCAAGGAGATTCACAAAAGACAAAACCATCCTATTTACAAACATGACATCATTAATGTCTTCTTTCAAAAGTCCGACACCCTTATCCCTTATAGATAAATTATTGTAGTATTATTACACAAAAGGACGAAATTTAACTATTTATAAGCATGCTTGTGATAAATAAGAGACACTTGTCCAATTAGTCTTTAAAGATAGGTTCATGACTTGGAGACATATTCTGATCGGATAAGTATTCTTCGGAAAAGCAGTCTCTGTATCGAGATGTCTCTTTTTCCCACACGTCATCCATCATGTAAGCATGGTCAAATATTTTTTTATGAACTTCTTCCATGTGTCCTTCTGAGAATCCAGCTTCCATTGGGGAATCTGCTTTTTGTTGTGTGGCTTGAATTGAGCTTTCTCCAATCTCTCGACTTTTATACTGAGCTTGATGACTTATACAAGTGGAATTATCATTCATCTTGTCTGGTTCATGGAGGTTGATGAAGTTAACATATTCCATTAATTCTCTTGTAACTTTTTTAGATTTGGAGGATAATCATCAATGATTTCCCATATATGAACATATTTCTTACAACCAAGTAACTTAGTGGAAGGATCTGTTTGATAGGGAATGTGCATGAAGAAAACAATCTTGAATTTGCTAATAGTCTCTGAGGCTAATCCTCTTTCTTTGACCTCATCTAGGATTGGTTTTAATTGATTTCTTCACCATGTTAGTGGAGAGTACCATTCAAGAGTAGTCCAAATCAAGGATTTGTGGTTCTTAGGATCCATTATGTGTTCATACATGGTTTCGGTGGGTATGAGGACAAACATAAAACACAAAGCAGTGGCACATCAGATATACCACAAATGGTTTTTTGTGAACTTAGCATTAGGGTTTATTAAAATTGGTAGGAGAAATTGTGTGTCTGGGAAATAAGGAGTATAGTCAGGGAGTTTATTCCTTATGATTTTTGTCATATAATAAAAAATATTATTCCTGACATACTGTTTGAGCTGTGAGGGTGAAGAGGATGCAGTTATTCCTGGAGGAAAGTCTTTGGTCCTGGAGGCACGGGTTGACAATGGTTTGACCATGAGAATCAAAGGAAAAGTGTGCTTGGTTGTAATGATCTGGATGGATTTCATAGACCTAGAAAGCAAACCAGGAATCACATTTTGAGTTCCTTTGATATGTTTCACAATAAAATCATATCTAGAAAACCAATCTTTGAGCCTAAGAGTTTGAGGATCAAGAGGCATCTTATTTTTGAATTCGAGGATCTTAGGGAAAGATGAATTATCCATCTGGACTTCAAACTGATGACCTCTCAGGTGAAAGTCAAACTTTTGGATACCCATCTTAAATGCAAGAGCTGCTTTATAAGTGGTATGATAATGTTTTCAGCTTCTTTGAACTGACCACTAGCATGACCACAATAATACTTTATTCCATCAATTTCTTCTATGAAGACGGATCCCCAATAATGATCACTGGCATCCGTCTATAAGATTCTTTTACCGTCTCCCGAGATCTTTAAGGCAAGTGGGGTTTGTACGATCTTTTTCAAGGCTCTTACCGCTCCAGTTTACTTTGTTCCTCATGGTGGAGGTTTTTTCTTCAGCATTTGAGATAGAGGACTCGTGTATCTTGCCAGTTTTGGCAAGAAATCTCTGATAATTAATTATACCAATAAATTACTGAATCTGCTTAACAGTGAGATTTTCATCGGGAAAGTTTAACAATTCTTGAGCAATATGAGGCTGAGGTTAATACTTCCCTTGGGAAAAATGCATTCCTAGAAAGTCAATTTATGTTTTGCCCAATTGGCTTTTCTTTTCAGAGAGCATCATTCCATGTCGTTGGGCTATTTGAAGGAATTGTCCCAATAATTGTTTATGGGATTTTTCATTTTTTGAGAATAAGAGCACATCATAAATATAGATGAGGATACTATTGAGAATGAGCTCAAAAATTCTAGTCATAGCCTTTTGAAAAAGTGATGGAGCTACCTTAAGCCCAAATGGTAACATAGCCCATTGGGATTGGACGTTAGGAATGTAGAACGCCATTTTGTAACAGTCCTCGGGGTCGACACCCAATTGCCAAAATCCTGACTTAAGATCGAATTTGGAATAGATTTGGGCATCTTTGATGAAAACATTTAAGGACGCGGCCTTTGAAATAGGAAATTTATCATCCTTGAGGAAATGATTTAGAGGTTTATAATCAATTACTAGCCTCTTTTTTATCTTTACTTTTCAGATCTCTTTTCTACATAAAATGCTTGGCAAGCCCATTCTGATTTGGTGGGTTCTATCATACCATGTTTGAGCAACTGGTTGCATTCTTCTCTGGCCAATGTATAATCTGATGGACTCATTCCTGAATGAGTGGTCTTGGTTGGATTAACATCTTCATTGAGCTTAAAAGGAAGTTGAACAAAAAAGTTTTTATTCTTCCATAGAGGTTTTGGATTGAAGAATGTTTCATGGCTATTTGCACAAAGTTTGAGTAGGTTGGACTTGATTTCTTCATATCCAGCAGGGATTTTAGATAGTGAATATAAATTCAATATCCCAGAATAAGGTTTGAATTCTCTTTTGAATTTTATTCCTGTGCGAAGAATTTGGAGTCTATTGGCTGCTGAATATACATCCATCCCTACTACAATATCTTTATTTGAAAGATTGCTTCCAATGACCTTGGTCCAAACTATGCAGTCGGGGAACAATTTGATTCCTATCTTTTCCTTGGTCATTAAATATGTCCTGAAGACTTTCCCATCTGCTGCTACAAAATATGCAGCATGTGTTACCCATGATTCTGCTGGGAGAATATTAGGATTCATCATTGTAATATGAGCCCCAGTGTCCATATAAGCTATAAATTTCTTTGGATGGGAAAACTTTGTCGCGAGGACATGAGCTTCAATACATGAGAGTGGTGGAGTAGGAAGAGAACTTCCAATCTCTTTGAAGGAGTAAACAGGGAATATTTGTTATCTTCTGATTCAGAAAATGATGCTTCGTCAGACGCAGAGTCTTGAAGGGCAAAAATTGTTTCTTCATCAGCAGAGCTTTGTTCAGAATACAAAGATTCTAGGTCTCCATCTAGAGGTTGAAGAGAGTTGATCATTTTTGCGGTTTTGTGGGTATTATTAGGACATTCCTTAGAAAAGTGCCCCTTTTTCCCACAAATAAAGCATCTCCGATTTTTTCCCTTTCCTCTGAAAGGTTTTCTTTTAAAGAACTTCATAGTCTTCTTTTTATTTCCTTTAAAGGTCCTATGATATTTGGAGTATTTTTGATGATGATGTTTCTTTTTTGTTGCACAACTGCACCTTTTGTCTTTGCACTTAATCTCCAGATAAGGTTTTTCGCAGGCCTTGGTGAACTTTGACTTTTGCTGTATAACTTCTTGAAATTGATGGTGAAAGCTGCAAAGCTTTTCAAGTGCTTCCAACGTCGCCTGGTGAATCTGGCCAAGACTCATTGTTGTAATATCCTTTTTAGCTGTTGCTACCATCCTATGGGTTTTGCTGGAGTTCGTGTGGTAGAGACGATACATAGGTATTCTTGAGACTAGGATCGTTGTACCCATTGAGGAGATAAAACCTTTGTGCCATCCTATGATAGTGTTTGTCGAGGTCTTTTGTTTTGAGGGAATAACACTTTATCTTAAAGAATTCCTGTCTGTTTTTTCTATCGAACATATTCATATCTCCGATAAACTCCTGGTGGAGTACGCCAAGGATATTAGTTGTGTTTTCTAAATGATGTAACTCATCTTGTTTGAAAGTCCCAAGATTATGATACCATTCCTTCATCGTGCCTGTCATTCTACAACAAAATTATTCAATGACCTTATAACTATCTGCATTTGTTTTCATCATCTGGGTATCAAGCCATGCTTCGCATTCGAGTAGTCTCTTTCTCTAATGACTAGGCGGTATATCATCAAATGTGAACCAAGGACCGCCATTTGGTTTAGTCCTTTCAGGGACTAGAGTTTCTTCAGGAGATTATTCAAAAAATGAATCTTCCTCTTTTATATTTTCCATGAAGAGTCTTGGGATGTAGTTTACTTCAGATTGTGATTCTGATGAAAAGGATCTTGGTGTTTCATCACTAGACGTTTCTTGACAGGAGTCTTTGTCATCATCCGAGGAGGACTCGTCTTCTTTTTGTGCTGATGATTCAGCAAGAGAGTAACTTTTCTGGGAAAATTTATAATTTCCAGTGATTTCCATGGCTTGAAAACCTTTATCAGGAATTTCTTCTTCCTTTTGGAATTTTGGAGGAGGTGTTTCAGGAAAATCCTGAGATTTTGAGGATGAAGCGCTTAAACAGACAATCTTTCCTTTTGTCTTGGAGGTTGAGGTAATGGTAGTTCTGGTAGATTTTGGTTTGTAAGTTGTAGGTATGTATTTGACTTGATCTGGTGGTGAAGAAACATAGGTAGGGAAGAAAGGAGAAGGTCTTTCTGGTCGTTTGAAATATGTAGGGAAAGTATGAGGGTCAAAGAAAAGGTTTTCAACAGGCTTGGGCTTTCTTTCATGTGAAGCTCTTAAGAAATCATTTATTTATTTTACTTGGTCTTGTAGGTTTCTGATTTCTCTTTCCTTTTGGTCAAAAGTTTTGCCAAAAGTTCTTTCTTCTAACATCTGTCGCAAATCACGATCCAACTGAGACACTTGAGCCTTTAAGCTTTTGTAATGCTTCTGCATTTTCTGTGATAGAACCTTGAGATAATCATCGGTCTCGTCTATTTTCTCAAGAATCTTGTCCACCTTTTTGTCGAGATTTTGGAGGATATCATTTTGAGAAATCATGTTTTTCGATTGCCAATTTAGAAATTCTTCAGCTTGAGTTAAAGGTTTGAGTTTTCCATCGGGTTGTATTTCATTAGGATGAATGAAGGGTTTGGATGTTCTTCCAATGATTGGACCCATCTTCCTTTCTAGAGCAGAAAATTATTGGCTATAATCTGGTGCGATAGTTGAGTACATAAAGCAAGGGATTAGCTCACCATTTTTTGGAGGGTCCAAAAGTTTGCAGTAGTCTGACGGTAACCACGTAACTAGAGTAGGATCATTTGGTGGCAGTAGTTTTTCTTTCCTGAGGATCTTGAGAGCTTCCTCATAAATAGGAAGAAGTTTCTTTTTATCATGGATACCTACCCATGAACCGTTATCAGGATCATATCTTCTTTGTGGAGGAGGAGATGGTTTGCACGCCCCCATTGTTTTTTCTTTTCGGAAGGATAATATCTCTGTCATAGTCATTATCGTGCATCTAACATTCACATCTTGGGTCGCATTTATTGGGATATACGTCCCAAATAAAATAATCATTTATCTTGTCAGTATAAATAGATTCTCCTTTACTAGTTACAGCATGAATTGGGCACCAATCTTCTTTGAGAATCGGTTGGATCATCATGGTCTGAAAAATAGGAGAAATTGAACTTGGTCCTTCATCTGGTTTTTTGAAAATTGTTTTGACCGTTTTGTCAACAGATCTTCTGAAGGTGGCCTCTTGTGATTGTATTTGTCTTCTATCTTGATGGATTTTTTCATAGTTTGTTATCCACTCAAGAGGAATTAACTGAGTTAGTTCTTCCCTTGTGATCTTTCTTGGAATCTGAACGATAGAGGGTGTATCTTCTTCTCTATTAGTAACTACTAACAGAGAATCAAAAGAACATCCCGTGAGAGGCAAATCTATCGAATGATTTTGCAGGCGATAGATTATTTGGTGATGGAGAGTAGCAGACATGGCCTCTGGAACTTGGTCAGATCCAGTGATTTGAACTTGGACTTTTAGTCTTGTAGATAGGGTGTTGTCGTTGAGACTTACATTATAGTTTGAAAAAATAGTAAGAACAACGCTTCCTGCATGAAGTGGGGGTTAGAATAGTCCCTATGTCAATATTTTCATAATAGAGATAGCTCGAATCTAGGAGAGCTATTTTGCAGAAGACAGACTAATTTTTTTTTCCTCATAGAGAGAGAGGATGGATCTAACTACTCCAAAATATAAAGTTATGTATCCTTCAGATTTCCAATAATTTATGAGACTATGAGGAATCTCTAAATCTACATACTACTCTTGATTTGTAGCTAACTATAGATTATGTTAAGCTCTTCCTGGCAACAAAAATTGTCAATCACCCTTTTAAAAAAAATAAAATTGTCAATCACTTCAAAATTTTGAATATGGTTTGTTTCGGTTATTAAAAGTAATTAGAAACTGAAATAGTTGAGAACAGGCTATAATAAATGAAGTTATATATATTGACTAGCAAAGGACAAACATGATACATATATGTGACGATGCCTCGATGATTGAAAATTATAGAACAAAATATATTTAAGATGCATCAATTAAAATTTGACATTGTGTCGGTTTTAAATTTGCTTCTTGATGGATATCAAATTTGGACCAAAGTAATTAAAGAGAAAAAGTTATCATCATGGTAAACATTAATTGGTCTAGTAATAGTTGACACTGAATTTAATAGAGAAGATCATGGTTCAATTTTTCACAACCGCAATCTGAGAAGACTAAAAACAGATTCGATAGGCGTATGAAAGCATATTGTCTCCAAGACGCAGTTCAGAAATTCCTAATTGATCATTTTTTTACATTACAAAAGGTGACTACTTTCAACTTTAATGTGACAACAAATGATTTGTCTGACAAAAAAATGTGCTGATAGCTTTCCTGATTTACATACATTAATTCAAATCTGATACATTAGCAAGCACCTCGAGGGGTGCAGTAAACATTAGTTTTTCTCTTAAAGGAAAAACAAGTTTGTACAGAGAACTTTTCAATGCAGATTAGTTCCTCAAGGGTTCAAAGACAAACCACAAGATCAAACTTAGAGAGTTCAAAACATTAAGACAGATAACCTGGGATTATAAGTTACAATTCTACGGTTATAAACTTATGCATGATACAACATTTGAATTCTACGGAGAATTCATTTGAATTCTGTGAAGAATTCAAACACCAAAACAAAAACGAAACTGAGACTAAGGTTATATCACCAAACGCATCGATAGGTAACATGCATCTGGGTGATTTCACCAGTGTAGGTAACTTTAAGTACCTGCCCCCTCTGAAGTCCATAATATCGAGCAATTGCATCTGTCTGTAGCATCCGAGGAAGCTGCAAATAACAAGACTTAATATAAGAATGCTAGTATTGGAATATGATCAACAGTGCAGAAATTTAAGATTCATGAAATACAGGTTATAAGATATATGTGGAAAAAGGGAATACGTACAAAATATCTATATTTCATACTGCTATTGTAAAATCTAATTCAGTTATCTTAAGAAGTTATATCAACTGACCTGCTTTTCTTGTATATCGTACTTCTTCAGGAGATTCCTTTTCTGCTTATCAGTCAGAATCTGATGCTTTGGCTTCAACACATGCTTTGTAATATTAACAAGCAAGTCTGTGATCTGAACAGTCACAAAAACACTCCGAAGTCAGGATGCAAAGTCAAGACATTCAGAATGAGATCTTTTAAGCATCTCAAACTTGATGGTATCTTATCCACATTTGTATGTCAAAGTTTTCATCCTCAATAAGTTCGCAGTTTCAACATAACAGAATGTCAAACATACAAAAAGATTGATCAATAGCAATTTTAGTACACTCGAGAGTAATAGAACCCTTATTACAATGGTGATCTTTTTCTTACTTAAACTATTTATTAGAAAAGAATGCATAGAATTTAACTTGTCCGGTACAAGGTTGATAAAATTGAGATCCTAGATAGGATCGGGGAGGGGAGTCATGATCCGTAGGATCTTAAGATCCTTCGAAATTCATAAAACTAATGTATACACAGATGCAGATACAGTGAGATGACCAAAAAGCACCAAATCAACTGCTCCTACAAGTTTGCACAGAGATTCCACTAATCACAACAAAAGAACAATTTCATATGGACTCAAACTGGCAAACCGTCGTAAAAATTCATAAAATAGTACAGGTATACAACCCAGCACACTATTTTAAATACTTTGGTCCAGTAAATTGAATGAATTTTATCTTCATATGGATGTATAAAGAGATATATAATCAGCCTGCTCTTGAGATTTTGTACGCGTCGCTCAGATGAAAATCCTGTTAGTTTTGATATAGAGATGATAACAAATCAATGTTTGCACCAATTAGGATTATATAACAGTTTTGACTGATATGCAATCAAAAAGTGGTTTGTGAAGAAAGAATTTGTGTAGATTTCATCAATCAATTTATTCAAAGCAGACAAAATGTGAAAGATTACCATTCAATTTACTAAAAGCAGACAAAAATCAGTATTTGTGAATCAAGCAGAATATTCAGATATTAAATTTGGTTTATTTTCATCTGCCTCCTATTTAAATTGGTAGAAAATTCAGTATTTGGTAGACTCAACTATACCCAAGCAAACTCGTGAGTTTACTTACAATCAACTAGTCTAAAGAGAAGCGAAATATAATGCACAAAAGAGCAGCACTCATTTATGTTGTATCCATTCAGTGGTGCGTTACTGTCAGCAAAGACATTCTCACTGGGAGTTTACTTACAAATTGATACTGTCTAAGGCTAATGTTGTGGTTTGCCACTTTGATATGTAGTTGAAATTATAATGTTGAGTTATTTGTGTTTATGGTGCAGTATGTATCTTTGTCATTTATAGCTCTTTTACTATTACCTAATTTCTGAGCTTTGTACACTATGACAACCTTGATTACATAAATTCTTCCCAAAAGTTCCATCTTCAAAATGTTTAATTAACTCAATTTCTTTATTCTTTAAAGAATTAATATGTTTGGATTGCCTTTACAAAGATGTTCAGAGGAGCTAATAGATGAAAAGGATCCAAAGACAGATTGCCATTTTCTAACACTAAATAGTACTTTTTCAGTAGTTGCATGCAACTTTAGGGTTAGACTAAAGCATCAAATATATTCATCAAAATAGAAAAATCAGTGCTATCAGATACCATTTAGAAACAAGCATGCACAATCATAGACACAGATTTCACAAACACACACAAAACAAAACAAAAAACATGAAACAACCTTACCTGGAAAATTTCAACTTTGAAAGATAAAAGATCAACCGCTTTCAAAGCCTGGCTAGTAATCTGATTTTGCACAATCAAAATCAAACCACTGAGAGTGTCTCTATTCACAATCTGTCCAGCAATGTTCCTGATCACATTCACTTTCACAATCCCTGGCCCACTAAAAATCACCAAAATCTACAAAAATCCAACACAAACCATCACAATAAATATAACAAACACAACAACTAAACAAGAATAATGAATGCTCAACATTAATAGAGACCCTTTTAGAGGGATCAGTGCTATGACTAGCTGTAAACCGGAGTCGATCAACATCCGGAGATTGACCATGAACTTGCCGAAATTCTTCGAGCGAGAGCTCGATTTCGGTTGACGGAATAGAGTAGCCTCTGTCTTTGAGCATCTCGAGTGTTGTTCTGCGAGAGAGGTAGTAACGGTGACTCTCAATGCTTCCATTGTCGCCCTGGGTGATTAGACACTTGGGTTGTTGCTGTTCTTGAGGTTGTACTTGTAGTGTGTCTCCGTTCTCAATCTCCATAGGGGTCGCAGTTTCGAGAGACAGGTTGTGTACTCCGTTTTGTTCTGCCATCATAACTCTCTTTGTTGTTCTCTCTCTACTTTGCTTCTGCCTCTTAACTCTATTGTACTTATGTCGGGGTTCCTTGTTATTTTTTATTATAGTTATTTTATTTTTATGAAATGTTGACATAGTAAATTGTGAAATCAAAGAATTTTTACAAAAATATATACATTACTAATAATTATATACTCAATTACCGTCGTCTTTCAATTAATTATATATATATATATATATATATATATATATATATATATATATATATATATATATATATATATATATATATATTAGTCCCGATAGGGTAACATAATCGGCAGGACTAGAGGTTAAGATAGTAGTCGGCCCATGACGAAGGTATTCGGGATGCAACTCGGTGAAAGTAGTATTAGATTGTTCATGAATTCGGGTAGCAACCCGTCGTCGTCATCAACCCGGATAAAGCAGGTAGCTGAGACGCACCTATACGTGACTGGTCATTACCTCAGTTCATTAATGCATGTAACTTCTTACAGCACAATCATTACAGCGTTACACAACTTTGATCCCCCTATTTATGGAGATGGCGGAGGTTATAGGATTATGAGACTCAAGAGTCACTCATTAACAGAGACTCTTGATGGCGAAGAGATACACATTATAAAGGAGCTCCCGCAAGAGGGATAAACAAGACATTCATCTTGAGACACACGTTTCACTAACGTAGCTCCCACATCCCTTAATCATCTTATAAACTTATTCCGATAGGCTCTCCCTATCAACCTTCTGGGAAGTCGGTCGGATATTTATTTTACGCAAGAACATTGACGCCCACCATGGGGCCTTGGTAAAATTATTCCCAAGCCGCACCTCAACTCACCTTCTGTAGAATATCGTCACCTGGAGACCTCCCAGACATGGCACAACTACTAGCCATGGTGGAGGCCCTCAGCCAGTAGAACGAAACTCTGCAAGATAGCATCACAGGCCTACAACAAAGAAGCGTAGAGGACGATGGTCCGAAAGAGGATCTTCTGGAACCTCAACCTCTATCTCAAGCTATCTGCGAGATTGTAGTTGTTTTCTCCATCGAATTCAATTCTTTCCGTCAAGAGTTGGAATAGAATTTAGAATGTTATTGTTACCATTCATCTTCGCTGCGATTTCTAGTGAACAACCCATAATCCTGGAAATACGATCTAACTAGAACTCTAGATACCAATTTGTTAGTGCGTAAGACACTTTTAGTGAGGAGAGAAAGAGAAAATAAGGGAAATCAATATTTTATTATAAATTGAATTGTTACAAACTGATTTACAAACTAGTCTATTTATATACAACTAACTTGTACACTAAGTAGGCTAACAAACCCTAATTGGGTTTGGACTTGGGCTTGGATTACAACTTGGATTATATCTAATATTATATCAAATATTTGAGGAATTAACATGTCACCCCCATATTATACATGGCACCCCCAGTCTTGGCACATTTAGGAAACTGTCCCTGAAATATATCAGATGTTTTGAAATTTTCGATGTAGTACCAGAAATTTCATGAAAATATCAGAAATTTCGTTGAATTTCCAATTTTTTACCGTGCCATATGAGTTTAACTGGAAATTTGAAATTTCTGGTACTGAATATTTCAAATTTCCGGTACCAGATATTTCAAATTTCCGGTGTATTTCATTCTTATAAGAAAGCGAAAATTTAAAATTTCCAGTGTGGAAAAAATCGGAAATTTAAAATTTTTGGTAGTTATGGAACTTTCTTTTTAACTTTTACTTGAATAAAATACACAGTGAAATTTCAAGTATAACTGAAATTTTCGGTAAACGTTTTCTACCATAAATTTGCGTAATTTCTGGTACGTGTGCTGGCTTTTGAAAATTGACACGGAAATTTTAAAATTTCTAGTGAATCGCAATCGAAAATTTTGAAATTTCTAGTTAATCACAATCGGAAATTTGTAGAATATAAAGAATTTTTGATAAGCGATCAAAATCAGCATCGGAAATTTGTTTAGCGTACCAGAAATTTTGATTTTTTAACTCCTTTAATCAATAGTATATTTTTTTTGACAAAAATAAAAAATTTAAAGTGAATAGTGAAAATATTAGTGCGTGAGACACTTTTAGTGAGGAGAGAAATAGAGAATAATAAAAGAAATAAGGATTCGTATTATTCAAGTGTACAAATAATGATACACACTATGACTATTTATATACAACCCTAATTGGGCTTGGGCTAACACAACTTGGATTATATTAAATATTAAATCTAATCAAATCTAATCTAATCTAATCTAATATTTCAACACACACCCATAATCCAAGTTGTCGAACATCCTCAAAAATAGTCAATCTGAACTATTCCTAATTTCTTTCTCAAATTCAGAAATCTGTTGACCTTCAATTCTTTTGTGAAAATGTCGGCCAACTGTGCTTCACTTGAGCAATGCCTAACTTCAAGTTCACCTTGATTTACTTTTTTCCTCAAGAAGTGAAACCTTGCTTAAATATGTTTACTTCTTCCATGCAGAACTTGATTCTTCACCAGATTTATGGTTGACTTGTTGTCGATTTGCAATACTAAAGGTTTCTTCACTTCGACAGTCATTTCTTCAAGTACAGATCTGATCCAAATTGCTTGACATGCAGCATAGGATCCCGCTATATATTCAGCTTCACACGATGACAATGCCACCACAGGTTTCTTCTTCGAACACATGAGATCGGGACACCAAATACTTGAAAGAAATATCCAATTGTGCTTCTTCGATCTTCCTTATCTCCACACCAATCAGCATCTGAAAAACAATTAACTATTTCTTCTTTGCCTTCAGAATCTCGTCGAAATAGTATTCCACAATATATTGAACCCTTCAAATATCGAAGGATTCTTCTTGCAGCCTTCATATGTGACACTCTTGGTTCACCCATATATCTGCTTACTAATCCGACTGCGAAATCTATATCAGGTATACTATTGCACACATACCTCAGAGATCCCACAATTTGCTTGAACAAAGTTGCATCGACTTTGTCTTCCTCTCCATTCTTCTCCAACTTCACATTTGGTTCGATAGGTGAGGATGCAGGATTCGAATCATCCATTCTGAATCTCTTGAGTATTTCTTTGACATACTTTCTTTGATGTAGCACCATACCTTGCTTCGACATTTGAAATTCCATGCCTAGAAAATAAGACAATTTTCCTAGATCCGACATTTCAAATTCCTTCGTCATCAGCTCTTTGAACTTCGACAAGTTCTCCAAACTATTTCCAGTTACTAGCAAGTCATCAACATACAAGCAGATGATTGTTATATCTTGTGCTACAACCTAAACATAGACACCATACTCTGATTTGTATTTGACAAATCCTAATTCGACTAAGTATGAGTCGATCTTCTTGTTCCATGCCCTAGGTGCTTGCTTGAGGCCATATAGCGCTTTGTGCAATCTATATACTTTACTCGCTTCCTTATGAATCACAAACCCAGGAGGTTGTGTGACATAAACTTCTTTGTCTAAAGGACCATTCAAAAATGCTGATTTCACATCTAGATGAAATGTTGACCAACCTTTGTTGCATGCCAATGCTACTACTAGTCGAACACTCTCTAATCTTGCTACTGGAGCAAATACTTCAGAGTAGTCAAGTCCTGCTCTTTGAAGAAAACCTCGAGCTACTAATCTTGCTTTATGTCTTGCTATTGACCCATCTGCATTGTGTTTCAACTTGAACACCCACTTTACTTCGATAGCTTTTGTATGTGTTGGCAATTCGACTAACTCTCATGTGTTGTTTCTTTCGATTTCCTGTAACTCTTTGACCATAGCTAACTTCCACTTGTTAATCTTCAAAGCTTCGCTATAGTTGATTGGTTCAACACCTGCAAGTAAAGCAAAATGAACTAATTCTCCATCTGGTGTGATTTTATCATCACCCATCACTTCATAATCATGAAGTCTTGGTGGAAGAACTCTATTTCTTTGAGGTCTTTGGCTTGTTTCAGCCACAACCTCTTCGACTTCGACTGTGACAGGAGTGTCAGCAACCATTTCTTCTTCGACTTCGACTGGATTCTCAACAATTCCTTCGACCTCTACTTCATTAGTTTCTTCGTCAAAATCAAAGTTCATTAATGATTTGTTAATTGAATTGCTAGAATTCCAATCTCAGGTAGAATTTTCATTAATCACAATATCTCGACTCAACACAATATTTTCATTAACTGGATTGAATAGTCTGTATGCACCAGTTTTATGATATCCTACCAAAATCATAGGTTCACTCTTGTCATCAAGCTTCCTTCTCCTTACATCAGGAACATGCTTGTAACACATAGAGCTAAACACCTTCAAGTGACTTACTGATGGTCGTTTGTCACTCCATACTTCTTCAGGAACCTTGTTCTTCAATATCTTAGTAGGACACCTATTCAAAATATAAACTGCAGTCGAAACAACTTCTCCCCATAAAGATTTTAGAAAATTCTTTTGCTTCAGCATGCATCTTGCCATATCTAATATGGTTCTATTTCTTCTTTCAGAAATTCCATTATGTTGAGGTGTGTAAGGATCAGTTACCTCATGATCAACACCATGTTCTGCACAGAAATCTTCAAACGTCTTGGATGTGTATTCGCCACCTCCATCTGTTCGTAGAACTTTGATCTTCTTCTCACTTTGTTTTTCGACAAGTATCTTGAATCTCTTAAAGATTTCAAATACTTCGTCCTTTCGTTTGATCACATAAATCCACAGCTTTCGACTAAACTCATCGACAAAGGAAAGAAAATATTTGTTTCCACCAACTGTATGTTCTTCAAATGGACCACATACATCTGAATGCACCACTTCGAAAATGCAGGATGATCTCATTGACATAGTCGAAACGAAAGAATTTCTGGATTGCTTTCCCACTAAACAACCTTCACAAAGTTTTTCAGGCATCTCAAGACTTGGAATACCAGTAACCATATCTTGAGTAATCGGTTGATTAAGTGATCGAAAATTTAAATTCCAAACCTCAAATGCCACAACCAACTATCCTTGTGGTCGACAACAGTTTTCAAACATTGAACTTTTGTCGAACTGATCATAGTCATAAATGTCCTGTTCTTCAACAATGGAGATTTTAAAATCAAATTGTTCTTAGTGTCGAACAATTTCAAAACTCCATCTTTCATGACAACTGAGAAACTCTTTTCAACTAGTTGTCCAACACTTAACAAGTTACATTTCATTCCAGGTACATAGAGCACATTTTTTATCATAGCTTTCCCTCCATTACTCATTGGAAAGACTATGTTGTCAGTACCTTCTGCTTGCAACGAACTATTATTAGCAAGTTTTACCTTGCTCTTCTTCGACTCGTCAAAATCTGCCAACCACTCCTTTCGACCAGTCATGTGGTTCGAGCAACCTGAGTCGAGAAACCATATATTAGATTCAACATGGTCATCTGCAACTACAGCCATAACCATCATACCACCTTCAGAATCATCCGAATCTTGGCGTGCAAGGTTCGCTCCTTCGTCATTGCCTTTCGATCCCTTGTCTTTTCTGTACCAACAATTCTTGGCCAAATGTCCCCACTTTTCAAAGTTATAACACTGCATACCTTTCTTATCTTCTTTGTCTTTTCGATAGTTTCCTCCTCCCCTTTTCGAGGATTCAGAAGATCTATCTTCGACCTTATTCTTATGGAAATTCGACCAAGACTTCTTGCCATGAGTCTTGTCAAACTTGCCTTTGAATTTGTTGGAACCACCATCTTTTTTCCATGATTGAGCTTGCAGTGCCTGTATCGAGTCCTGAACTCCTTTCGTTTCGATAATCCTCATCTCATGCGCCTCCAACGAACCAACCAAATTTTCCACTTTAGTGGTTTCAAGATTGTTGGATTCTTGAATAGCTACGATAACATGATCAAAGTGAGAGGTCAATGTTCTCATTACCTTCTCAACTATCATCTTATCAGTAATGGTTTCACCACAACCCTTCATGAGATGGACGAGTTTCTGAACTTTCGACACATATTCTGCAACTTTTTCATCTTCTCCCATCGACAACAACTCATATTATTGATGCAAGGTTTGTAATTTGACAACCTTGACTTTCTCACCTCCTTCGAAATACTTTACCAGAATATCCCATGTCTCCTTCGCTGTTTCAGCATGAGAGATTTTGTCGAAGTTAGCAGCATCGACTGTCGTTTGAATGCAATAAGCAGCCTTGTAATCTTTTTTCTTGACTTCGTTGTGGGCTTTTTTTTGTTCGTCAGTTGCATTTGTAGCCAATGCCGGAACACTGTCGGTAACTACTTCTAGGGTTTCGTGGAAGCCAAATAAGGATTGCATCTGTTTTTTCCATCGGATCCAATTTTTACCGTCAAGCATTGGAAGAGAATTTGGAATGCCCTTATCACTAGCCATCTTCGCAGCGGTTGGTTTACTTGTCCTAGAAAAACGATCTCTGACGTGAAATTCTTGAAAACTTGATCAAGAACAATAACCGGAAGCTCTGGATACCAATTTGTTAGTGCGTGAGGCACTTTTAGTGAGAAGAGAAAGAGAGAATAATAAAGAAAATAAGGATTTGTATTATTCAAGTGTACAAAAAATGATACACACTATGACTATTTATATACAACCCTAATTGGGTTTGAGCTAACACAACTTGAATTATATTAAATATTAAATCTAATCAAATCTAATTTAATATTTCAACAGAAAAAAGTATTTTAGAAATAATAAAATTTAAGGATAACATATATAATATTAGTGATGACAAGTTAATTTCTGCAAATATTTTAACATCAATCACTTTTCAAAATTTTGAATAAATAACTTAGAACGAGACTAGAATCGTGGAAGTTATATATATTGAGGAGCAATGAAGCGCGAACATAATAGTCATAAGAGTATAAATACAATACATATTTAATACATTGATACGTGATTGATTGAAAAATAAAAAATATGATCTTTTTTTGGTAACAAAAGGTATGATATATTTAAGATACATAAATTTAAACTAGACATTATTTTGCTTTTAATTTTGCCTCTTGATGGATGGATGTCTGGTTTGGATATGTTTAAGATACATAAATTAAAATTAAAATTAGATATTCTGTTGCCTTTGAATTTGTCTTGTAAATCTTAAGTCGAGATCCTCTTCATTTCCTCCCTTTTCTATTTTGTTTATTAACAAAATTTTGGTAGGTCTATTTATTTTTTATACACTAAATGTCTTCAAAACTAATGGAAAGGAAAAATAAAAAGTTCTTGACCGAAAATCTCCGGGAGAAGTATTAATATATAAATTCCCTAAGAATAAATTGAAGTTCAGAAAAAAGTAATTACAGAGAAAAATGTTATGTCATGCAGGATGCAGGTGTTGGAGACGTGTCACAGTTCATAGTTTCATATTTAGGTGTATAAGATTTTTTCGAAATGACTTGAGTAGTTTTCAACAAAGATTATTTGAGGTAGATGTAAATGAAAGAGTTAAATTGTCTGCAATTCAAAATTTAAATCTGATACATTAGCAAACACCTCGAGGGACACAGTAAACATTAGTTTTACAGAGAGAAATCCACTAGATCAAACTTTGCGAGTTCAAAACATTAGGATAGATAACCTAGGATTATAAGTTACAATTCTACAGTCATAAACGAAAGAGAAACTGAGACTAAGATTATATCACCAAACGCATCGATAGGTAACGTGCATCTGGGTGATTTCACCGGTGTAGGTAACTTTAAGTACCTGCCCCCTCTGAAGTCCATAGTATCGAGCAATTGCATCTGTCTGTAGCATCCGAGGAAGCTGCAAAGAACAAGACTTAATATAAGAATAGTATAGTACTGCTATTGTAAAATCTAATTCAGTTATCTTAAGAAGTTATATCAACTGACCTGCTTTTCTTGTATATCGTACTTCTTCAGGAGATTCCTTTTCTGCTTATCAGTCAGAATCTGATGCTTTGGCTTCAACACATGCTTTGTAATATTAACAAGCAAGTCTGTGATCTGAACAGTCACAAAAACACTCCGAAGTCAGGATGCAAAGTCAAGACATTCAGAATGAGATCTTTTAAGCATCTCAAACTTGATGGTATCTTATCCACATTTGTATGTCAAAGTTTTCATCCTCAATAAGTTTCAACAACAGCAATTTCAGTACACTCTAGAATGACAGGACCCTTTTTAAGAATGGTGGTCTCTTTCTTACTTAACTATTTATTAGAACAGAACGCACAAAATTTAACTTGTACGGTACAAGGTAGATAAAATTGAGATCCTAGATAGGATCAGAGAGGAGAGACAAGATCGTAAATCGTAACATGGATCATAAGGTCCTTTGAAATTCATAAAACTAATGTGTGTACACAGATGCAGATCATAAATCTGTGGCTGGTGTGGGATTAGAGACGGGGGGGTTAGTGAACCACTTATTGGGCTCTGTGCAAATGACTTTTGAAATCCAGCCTGCACATTTGAGATCACCAAAATGTACCAACTCAACTGCTCCTCCAAGCTTGCACAGAGATTCCACTAATAACAACAAAAAAGCAATTGTGTATGGACTCAGACTAGCAAACAGTATCATGTTAGTTTTGATATAGAGATGATAACAAATTAACCTTTGCACCGACTAGGATCATATAACAGTTTAAATACAGATGATAACTTGGTATAGGTTGACTGATATGCAATATGATTTGTGAAAAAATTATTTGTGGCGGTAACAGACGGACTTCATCAATTTATTAGTTTCTTTTCTAGTAAAATGTGAAAGATTACTATTCAATATACCAAAAGCAGACAAAAATCAGAATCATGCAAAATATTCAGATATGAAATTTGGTTTATTTTCAGCTGTCTCTTATTAAAGCTATTTATTTCCTTTTAATAGCTCTTCACCTCACAAGTTTGAAATTTGAATATCCGTATCCTCATTTGGTTTTGGCGCTAGGAACGGTATTTAATTGGAATTCGGGTTTGGGTGGGAGTAGAGCCGTCTCAAGTTTTTGGAAACCCTGTGTAGGCTAGTCACAATTTAGCAAGGACAAAACAAATAGAGGCCCTATATAATCACAATTTAAGCTGAAAAATATTTTAGGAGGCCCCATTTAACCATAAATTAACCTTGAAAAGTTTGAGGCCCTGTGCAGTAGACCGTCTTGCACATCCTCAAAGACGGCCCTGGGTGGGGGACATGGCCGGTCCAGTACATCTAGAGGCCTAAGGTGAGATTTAAAACTAAACATTTTTAATATAATAAAAATAGTTGTCTAAAATTATTATATTTTAGTTATTTTATGAAGTAAAATCATTAAATTATTATAATCAATTTTATTTAATATTTTATTTCAATTGATAATAAAATTAATTCATCTAAACACTCTTCTCATTGATTTAAAAAAAAATCATAATTGAAAAACAATGTCAAAATTACTTTAAAAATAACTTAGATAATAAGTCTCCTATTATGTTAAAGAACTTCAAAATTTATCATCTATACTTATAATTTTTAAATTAACAAATTAAACAATATATATTGTAAATAATTTTTATTGTTATATATCTAAATAGATGTTATTATTTAACTGGTATATAGTATAATTAAAAAAAATTTAAAAATCAATTAATTAAAATCTTATACAAATTTGAGGCCCTAGGCAATAGCCTTGGTGGCCTACCCCTAGGGCCGGCTCTGGTGGGGGAAGGGTTTCGGTCCCCGCCCTGCCCCATTACCGTGCTTATAGGTAGCAAATTCAGTTTATGTTTAGACTCAACTATACCCAAGCAAACTCGTGAATGTACTTACAAATACAGGTCTAAAGAGAAGTGAAATAAAACGCAGAAAAGAGCTGCACACATTTATGTTGCGTCCCTTCAGTGGTGCCTTACTGTCAGCAAAGACATTCTCACCCATAGTATTCTTACTCTATGTGCAGTGCAGCCACCCTCCTTTCCGACGGTGACTTCCCCTCAATGTTTTTCTCGAATTTAGTTTTTTTATTCATTCCTGATTCACCAATTGGATGTTGCTTCCCCCTTCCCAAGTTGAGGTTTGGTGTTTGCTCTTTTGAAGTCAGATATTGTCTGAGGCTAATGTTGTGGTTAGTATGTATCTTTGTCATTTATATGTCTTTTAACATCACCTAAATTCTGAGCTTTGTACACTCTGAGAACAACCTTGATTACACAAATTCTTCCCAAAATTTCCAACTTCAAAAAGTTTAAGCAGTCGTTTCCATTTTTCTCTTAGATACCAACAATTCCTAATTAACTCAATTTCTTTATTCTTTAATATTTCCTTTTCAAGGAGGTTCTGAGCATCTAATAGATAAAAAGGATCCAAAGACAGATCGCCATTTTCTAACAGCAAAATAAAAACAAAACAGTACTTTTTCCCTAAAGTTACCCTTGCATGCAACTTTAGGGTTAGACTAAAACACCAAATATATTCATCAAAGTAGAAAAAAAAAATCAGTGCCATCAGATACCATTTAGAAACACATCATGCACAATCATATAAACAGATTTCATTTCACAAACACACAAAAACAAAAAACACAAAAAAAAACATGAAACAATCATACCTGGAAAATTTCAACTTTGAAAGATAGAGTATGAACCACTTTCAAAGCCTGGTTAGTAATCTGATTTTGCACAATCAAAATCAAACCACTGAGAGCGTCTCTATTCACAATCTGTCCAACAACGTTCCTGATCACATTCAGTTTCACCTTCCCTGGCCCACTAAAAATCACCAAAAACTACAAAATCCAACACAAACATCACAATAAATATAACAAACACAACAACTAAACAAGAATAATGAATGCTCAACATTAATAGAGACCCTTTTAGAGGGATCAGTGCTATGACTAGCTGTAAACCGGAGTCGATCAACATCCGGAGATTGACCATGAACTTGCCGAAATTCTTCGAGCGAGAGCTCGATTTCGGTTGACGGAATAGAGTAGCCTCTGTCTTTGAGCATCTCGAGTGTTGTTCTGCGAGAGAGGTAGTAACGGTGACTCTCAATGCTTCCATTGTCGCCCTGGGTGATTAGACACTTGCGTTGTTGCTGTTCTTGAGGTTGTACTTGTGGTGTGTCTCCGTTCTCAATCTCCATAGGGGTTGCAGTTTCGAGAGACAGGTTGTGTACTCCGTTTTGTTCTGCCATTATAACTCTCTTTAGCGTTCTCTACTTCGCTTCTGCCTCTTAACTCTCAACTCTATTGTACTTGTGTTGGGGGTTCTTTATTATTTTTTAGTAGTTATTTTTATTAAATGTTGACATAGGAAAATGTGAAATCAATGAATGTTTACAAAAATATATACCATTACTAATAATTATATACACAATTACATAATTATTCCTTTTTTACTTTATACTATTATGACTTTTACTAGTAATTTTTTCCATTTTGATTTTGTTTAAATTTTTTTTAAACATTAAAAATATTTTATTTATTTATTTTAATACTAATTAAATTAATTATAATATTAATTAAATATTTAAAATGTATATTCTAAGCCGCTTTAAGTCTAAAAAAAGGACGAAAACCAAATAGTGGCGGGCACTTACGACAAAGCAATAAATATATGAATTTTAAGTTTTACTTCACTTAGATGAACTTACTTGTAAAGTTTATTTTCACCGTTCAGATCTACTCGACGATTATCTGCATTTCATATCCACACAAACATTCAGATGCTAACTAATTCTTCTATTTAAAGAGATCATCACGTCATTTTTGTTGGTGCCCAAGGTGATGAAGAACATAAAAGAATAATTAAGAGAATATATTTATTGCTTTGCAATGACGGCTACAAAAGGTGTAAGAAATAATATATATTAAAATTTTAGTGCACAAGGTTAATAAATGAAGAAAAGTATGAGAGAATAATATTAAAGCTCTACAATGACGACTATAAAGTTGTAAGGAAGAATGATTGAACTATGATTGTTACAAATGATAACGAGTACTAGTCTATTTATACACAAAATAAATTTCCACGTAGGCCCTAACAAAAAAGGAAAACTTAATAACTAAGCAAACTAACTTAACAGCTACGCTAACAAAAGAACTAGAACTCCAGAAGCTAAACATACTTTTGGGCGTAACCTCAAAAGCTTCTGCTTCTGACTGATAATAACTTCTGACTAACAACCTCAGAAGCTTTACTGCTTCTGAGCAACACTACTTTTGAGTAATACATCAGAAGTTTCTGAATATAAATTACTTTGAACACCATCCCTTAATTCATATTTAGCTAACAAAAAACTATAACACCAATTTCATCCCTCAAATGAATAAGATGTTTAGTCTTGACATCCTTTGTCAGAACATCTGCAAGTTGCTTCTGGTTGCTACAATGTGCAACTCCATTCAGAAATGCAGATTTCACCTTGAAAACCCATCTGACGCTGATAGCTTTCTTCTTCTTTGGAAGCCCAGTTAACTCCCAAGTCTTATTTCTTTGTGGTCTCTGGACTTCTTCAAAATCTCCTTCTAATTCTGTAACAAAATCTTCTTCTGGACTTTCTTCAGAAGTTTGACTACCACCAGAAACTCCACCTTTGTTAATTTTTAGACCTCGTCCAAAACCACTACTTAAAAAAATACCTTTATTATATTTTATTAATAAAATAATAATAATAATAATAATAATAATAATAAAAATAAAAATAAAGAAAAAGAAAATAAAATAAAAATATAAAATTAAAGTCAGGGGGTCTGAAAATGATTTAGAGTGTAAATAAGCAAAACATATTTGTGTTGGAGTTAGGCCCAAGAATGATTTTTGTAATAAGAAAAGAAACAAAAATAAAAAAAGTTTGAGTTGAGCTACGTGTGATAAATAACAGGGGGTATTGTTGAGTAAATTAGGCAGGCCCAATGGAGGGAGGTCCAGCGCGCCTGTTCCAAACAAAAAAGGAAAACAGATAAAATGTGAAAAAAACTAAAAGGTCTCGCTCGGGCTCGAACCCAGAACCTTATAGAGGTAAGCCTTACGTGCGCGCTTGCTGCCACTAGGGTGGCCTGTTTCATCCATTAGTAATACAACAATCAATAAACTTATAATAAAACATGTTCATGTGATCAACTTCATCTTCTTCCTCACGCCAACCAGAGCTTTTGCAACTCATTCATTTCTCGTCCATTCTCAAAAGTATGAACATCAAACTTGTTAGAAATTTCATCACGATTTCAGAAATGTAAATAACTTAAGCTAACACTCAAAGATGAACACAAATTTCTAATGGTACAAAATTGTGACCTAATTTTTCAGAAAGTTCATCTTCAAAATTATCACTACTCAAGCAATATAAATGAATTCTAAGGACATGACTAGTTTCAGGGCTATGATGTCTACATTTTATCTTCACAAATGGAAAGCTAACAATGCCTATATGAAGAGTTCAAAAGTCAGAAAATGTACCTCAAAAATGGATTTCGTGTTTTGAGTTTGAGCTTGTTTCAAGGTGCTGCAATGATCAGGTTAGCTTCCTTGAGTCCTTAGGAAGCTAATGCAATGCTTAGCTTAAATGGAGAGTGGCTGAAATGGTCTGGAGAAGTCCAACTACAATACTCTATTTTTGGTTATGGAAGATGAAGAATATGGTGTTAAAGTTGGAAAACATAGATTTGGATAGCCTCTATATGTGTATTAGAGGCTTTGTGATGGATAAGAAGTGAAAACGCACGAGTGAATTTGAAGATTGAGTTTCAAAGTCAGAAATGACAAGTTTTTGTGCTTGTGTTGCAATTTCTGGTTTGAGGGAGAGTGAGGGTGTTTGAGGGCTTGCAAAATCGTGTGGTATGTTGCAAATGAAAGTTCAATTTATAGGCAAAGGGTTTGAAGGATTGAAATAATCAGAACACAAAGATCACATGTTATGAATTTTTGCTTATTTTTGAAGCAAACTTGAAACATCTTGTTCCAATATGAAGTAAAAGGCTTGTATAGTGATTGAGCACTTTATACATACCTCTTCTGATATTTATAAACTTAATGTGTGAAGAAGGAACAAGTTAGGAGCTCATGACAAGTTGACTTTGCATAAAGTTTGCTTTACAAGAATGGAATGGTTACTTTCTTTCCAAAATGGCAAATTGCTTTGGATAATGGCTTAATCACTTGGACCATACCTCAATCAATTATGCAAACAATTAATTATGGAGTGACTTACAAGTTAGAAGCCTGCAAAAACAAGATTGTGCAACATAGGCTTGAGATTTGAATTCTTGTTCGTCACAAAATAACCTATAATTCAAGTTTGAAACCCTAACTTCATCTCTTCAATTCTCCTAGCTCAAAAATGATCTAATTGAGTTCTTGGACATTTTGAAAAGCTTGGAAGATTATCTACAACTTTTATGTTGGCCATTTTGACAAAATACTCTTGTAGCTTGGTGAAAATTGACCAAGAAGTTAGGTCAAAAATCTACTAAGTACATAATCAGAGGTCTTCCTTCAACTGGAGGCATCAAGATGGGAGGTTCTTGTAAGTATTCTTTGATCTTGTCAAAGGCTGCTTGGAAGTCGTCGTTCCATCTGATTACTTAATCTTTCTTCAACAGTTTGAAGATTGGCTCACAAGTAGCAGTTAGGGGAGATATGAACTTGGAAATATAGTTGAGTCGACCTAAAAAAACCCTAACCTCCTTCTCAGTACAGGGAGTTGGAATTTCTTGTATGGCTTTTACTTTTGCAGGGTCGACCACGATACCTTTTACACTGACAACAAAACCTAGAAGCTTTCCAGACCTTATCCCGAAGGTGCATTTATTGGGATTCATCCTTAGCTTGTATTTCTTCAACCTTTAAAATAGCTTGTGAAGATGATCAAGGTGTTATTCCTAAGTTTGCGACCTTGCAATCATATCATCAACGTACACTTTTATCTCATGATGGATTATATCATGAAATAAAGCTACCAGAGCTCATTGATAGGTTTCCCCTGCATTCTTCAAACTGAAAGGCATGACCTTATAGCAGAAAGTGCCCCATTGTGTGACAAAGGTGGTCTTTTCCATGTCCTCAAGAGCCATCTTGATTTGGTTGTAGCCGGAGAAGCCATCCATGAAGGAGAAGACTTTATGTTGAGCAGTGTTGTCGACTAAGATGTCAATATACGGTAGTGGGAAATCATCCTTGGGATTGGCCCTATTGAAATCTTTGTAGTCTACACACATACAGACTTTTCCATCTTTCTTCGATACCGGGACCACATTTGCAACCCATTGGGGATATGATGTAACTTCCAAAAAACCTGCATAGAACTATTTCATTACCTCAGCTTTTATTTTCTCAGACATGTCTTACCGCATGCGGCGAACCTTTTGCTTGATTGGAGGATAATCTTTTCATTGGCAGACAATGAACCACAATGTCAGTATCAAGTCTCGACATATCTTCATATGAACAAGAAAACACCTCAACATAGTCGTACAACATCTAAACCAATATGTCGTTGATATTGTCTTATAAGTTGGTGCCGGTCTTGACTTCCCTCTTGTCTGTCTTAGTACCTAGGTTGATCACTTCAAATAGTTCCTCGTGCGGTTGAATGACATTTTACTCTTGCATCAGAAGTCTGGCTAGTTCCCCAGGTATTTCACAATCTTCTTCACCCTCGTCTTCGGCTTGGTAGATTGGATGTTCAAAGTCATAGATGGCAATAGCAGAATCATTGTCAATGAGATCTAGAGTGGATGTGGATCTAAAAATGGGCGTGTGTGCATGTAAGGTCACATGGCTATTTTGAAAATGCAATAAAGGGAAATAAAGACAATGAGCACAAAATTTGAATGCAAAAGAGTCCAATGTTTCTCATTAAATAATCATATGGCATATGAAAATGAACAAACCCTTAACAAATAGACCATGGTGCACCGGGCATGGAACATGGCTTAAAGTCATTGTTTCAATAGAATTACAGACATAGTTCTTAAATTAATAAAACGTTAAATGGTAATTACTCCTTGT